ACATTCAACAATAAAGATATAATTACAAATAAAGGCTCTGAAATAAGATAGTTTTTATTTTTTATGAGGATTTTAGATTTTATTCTAAATGTAATAGGGAGCCTTCTGAGGATTATAATCAGGGGGGAAGTGACCTGGTTTAGTTTTTAAAACTTCATTCTGGATTTCTAGATGGAAAATAATCTTAAGAGGGATCCAAGATGGGGGCAGAGTAGCTGGAAGTTACACTCAATACCTGCCAGGACAAAATTGGAATTACAACTAAATTATAGAACAATCATCCTGAATAACCAACTAAAGACTAGCTGAAGAGAAATTTTATAACCAACCAAGGATTTACAGAAGAAGCCACATCAAGGCTGGTAGGAAGGGTGGAGATGTGAAAAGGACTGGCTTCACTCCCATAGGCAGTGGCTGAGGTTTCAGAGGGATATCTCAGCTGTGGTGGATTCCCCCTGAGAAGCGTGGGGTCTCAATCCCAAGCCAGGTTGCAAGTTCAGTACCTGGTTAGGGAACACACCTAGGTTGTGGGTTTTGTTTCACTTAAGTGAAATAAGCCAGTTGGAAAAAGACAAATACCATATGATCTCACTTAGATGTGGAATCTAATGAACAAAATAAACTGACAAAATAGAAACAGAGGCATGGATACATGGAAAAGACTGACAGCTGACAGAGGAGGGGGTGGTTTGGAGGGCTGGATGAAAGAAGGTGAAGGATTAAGCAAAAAAAAGAAAAAAAACTTCATAAGTACAGAACAATAGTATGATGATTACCAGAGGGAAAGGGAGGTGGGGTGAAGTAGAAGAGGGTATAGAGAGTATAAAAGGTGATGGAAGGAGACTTGACTTGGGGTGGTGAACACACAGTACAATATACAGATGATGTAGTGTAGAATTGTAAACCTGAAACCTATATAATTTTATTAACCAATGTCACTCCAATAAATTCAATTTAAATAATTTTTAAAATTATAAAAGAAAAATCTATAGCATGAAAACATTAACATTAGGAAGGCTCTTGCTCTTGTCAGTCAAGATATTATAATTGTTCAGAAAAGAGCAGTAAAGATGGAGATGGTGAGAAGTGCTCACCTTGGGAATACATAGTGAAGTGACATTAAACTTCAGAATAGAATTAGATAAGGCAAAGTTGGTCTGAGCAACCCAGTGAGTGGTGATTTACCAAAATGGAGAATATGGCAAGAAGAACAAATCTAAAGGTAGGAAATTATGAGTGTTCCTGTGATCACGTTTTGCTTTAAATTCCTATTACACATGCTAGTAGAGGTATCATATGGGCATTTGACTATAGCAGTCTGGAATTCACCAATGAAGATACAAATTTGGGGATCAAATTATATAAATATATATATATGTATATATACACACACACACACATATATATACATATATATGTATGTGTGTGTGTGGATATATATGTGTGGAGATATATATATATATATACACAAAATAGACAAAATCATGACATTTGAATTACCTTAGGGAGTAAGTTCCAAGACTGAGTTCTAGGTGAATCCAACCCTGAGGTCAGAAACAGAAGAATTTCAAAAGATAAATGAGAAAGAGAAGAACAACAGGAACTTCAGTGTTAGGACAAACTATTTTTTTAAAGTATTTCAAAAGGGCATGATTTACTTATTAGGTTCACTGTTCTTGAATAAGATGAAAATGTTGTATTTTTACCACGTTCACTTTATCGGTCACCTTGACAAGACAGTTACACTAGGATACAGGGACAAAATCCTGTTTCGAATGAATTCAAGAGAACATGGGAGGTGAAGAAATGGATACAGTGATTGATAAACAATATTTTTCTATAAAGTAGAATAAAAATATAGAGTGATAGCTGGAGAGAAAAGTTATATAAAGATAATTTTTATTTTGTTTAGTTCAAAAGATGTAAGTTATAAGAGGTTTTTTTTGGTTTTGGTTTTGGTCTTTTAATAACAGTAATTATCTCTAAAAAAATACAGGACACATATTTGATTAGGCAAAATGTGGAGATTCAATATATAAATGAAAGATTTTGCCTTTGTAAAATAAAGAGTTCATTCTTTGTTCCAGAGGGAATAGAGAATATGGGTACAGATGTAACTGGCCTGGTAGATTTCATGATGGAAGGAAAGGAGATTCTCTTCTAATTTTATTTTATAAGTGAGTTGAAAGCAATTATCTGAGAGGGAGGAATGAGACAGCACATTGGGTAACTGATGACAAAAGTAAATTGGTCATTTTGGAAAGTGGGAGAATATATTGATGAGAGAAATAGTGGATAACTTTCAGATAGTGTTGAAGCTCATTTAAGATTTATGACATATATTTAACCAGTCAGTTTGGTATGTAGTTTTCTTTAGTCATATTAACTGGACACAGGTACAAAAGTGGTAGAGATTAAGATTTAACCAGGGTTAGGGTTTATCAGAAGAATACAAAAGTGGGAGAGAAAGTCAAAGGAGTTAAAAGTATGGGAGAACATATTTGCCAATGATACATATGATAAGGGGTTAATTTACAAAATATATAAAGAACTCACAACTCAACAAGAGGAAGATAGACAATCCAATTAAAAAATGAGCAATGGACCTAAATAGATACTTCTCCAAAGAGGACATACAGGTGGCTAAAAGACATATGAAAAAAATGCTCAATGTCACTAATCATCAGAGGATGCAAATTAAAATGAAGTTGCTTAATTTCTTATTTTAAATTTATGAGTGAATTTTAAATTGCTATTCATGGCATGCAAAGATTAATTGCACTTCAATAGATATGAGAGGATATTTGATGTTGCTGGGTAGTTTTGCTCACATATCTAATTTGCACACTAGATATTTGGGATTTGAAGTTCCCTGCTATTCTGCACCTGTGCTATATGATACGGAAACACACTTTCACAGTGAACTTTTATGAAAATGGTGAAAACTTTTAAATATATTCAATTTGGAGGTAAGATAAAACAGAATAATTTAATTTTCTCCTGTAATTTTGATAAATAGTTTTTCATCTGGTTTTGGAACTTGATACAATACTAATAAAGGAGATAACAGTTTTCTTATTAAGTAAGATTAAAATGAATTTGGCTACAGATTACAAGTTTTGCTTAACAAAATAATTGTCATAATTAATTCATTATAATTTTAATATTAATGGAGCTATACAGTTCTTTTACTCTGCACAATTATTTTGAGATTCATCCCATGTTGTAGCTGACATAACAAGATTATTTTTTTAATTTTTAAATTTTATTTATTTTTTTAAACTTATCTTTATTGTTGAATGTATTACAGATGTTCCTCCTTTTCCCCCTTTTGACCCCTGCCTCCCTGATCCTGTCCCCCTCCTGCCTTTCCCCACACTGTTGTCTGTGTCCATGGGTTGTGCATATATACATATAAGTTCTTTGGTTTATTTCTTCCCACTTCCATCTCCCTTTTGAGGTTTATCAGTCTAACGACCAATTTGTACTTCTTTTTTTTTTTTTTGAGGTAGCATTGATTGCTGAATCTTTTTTTTTTTTTTTATTGATTAATTTTTGTTACAAATGATTCTCCTTTTTTCCCCCAGTGATTCCCCCCTCCCCCTTCCCTCCCTGCCCCTTCCCCCGATTGTTGTCCATGTCCACTGTTCATGCCTACATGCATATAAATTCTGTTGTTCATCCCTCTCTCAGCTCCCCACTCCTTAGGGGATTGTCCTCAAACTGTTATGTTCATTATATTCCAGAAATCAGTGAGATCATATGAAATTTGTCTTTCTCTGCTTGGCTTGTTTCACTTAGGATGATACTTTCCAGGTCCCTCCATGTAGTCTCAAAGGATAAGAGATCTTTCTTTCTTACCGCTGCGTAGTACTCCATTGTGTATATGTACCACAGCTTTTTAATCCATTTGTCTACTGATGGGCACTTGGGTTGTTTCCAGATCTTAGCGATTGTAAATAGTGCTTCTTAATCCCTTCACCTTTTTCACCCATCCCCTCAACCCTCCTCTCATGGGGCAACCAACAAAATGTTCTCTATGAGTCTGTGTCTGTTCTGTTTGTTCATTTTGTTTGTAGATTCAATTGATAGATATGTATTGCCATTTTATTGTTCATATTTTTTTATATTTTTCTTCAAGAAGACCCTTCAACATTTCATATAATAATGGTTTGGTGGTGATGAACTCCTTTAGCTTTTCCTTGTCTGGGAAACTCTTTATATGGCCATTGATTCTAAATAACAGCTTTGCAGGATAGAATAATCTTGGTTGTAGGTTCTTGCTTTTCATCACTCAATATTTCTTGCCACTTCCTTCTGGCTTGCAAAGTTTCTTTTGAGAAATCAGCTGACAGTCTTATAAGAGTACCCTTGTAGGCTACTGCTTTTCTAACTGCTTTTCTCTTGCTATTTTTAAGATTCTCTCTTTGTCTTTAATCTTTTGCATTTTGATTATGATGTGTCTTGGTGTGGGTACAAGATTATTTTTAAGTAATTCTTTTATTTACGGTTATTTTTATAAATAGTATACCAATATAATATTCACAATGCTATAGAATGTGAGAAGAGTATATGTAAATATTGATTTTGTAGTTGATAAAATATATAAGATATTAATTAACCCAAGCAAAACCTCATTTAGAATTTTTTATTAGCATTAGGTGTTAAATTTACAGATATGTAATCAAGGTTGCATATACACAGTGAGGCACTCATCATGAATTCTGATTGAGGTTAAAATGAGAGAGAGAAAATAGCCAAATAAGTAATAAATAGATATTTGTCGAATCATCTTCTCATTCGTCATCATTTGCTTTTGAGAGGAGTTTCATTACTTGGTGAAAAGGAGTCTTAACAGAATCATAAGTCCATCCTTTCCTGAGAAACAACCTCTTAAGCATACCTGGCATCTAGTGTAGCCCTTGCTTATAATCTCTGAAGGCAATTGATCCATAAAGATCACCAGTAATGCCTGGTTCAAGGTGCTTTCTGTAACTTCTTTATTCCTCTTCAAGTAAGACTTTGGTGTTAATCAAAGGTTCATCATTTATTAGTTTTTTCCCAGGACTTGGACTCCAGGTACCATACTTTATCTTCACCCATTTGGGTTTATAAGGATTCTGTCATTTTTGGAGTTTCCTCTCCCAGCTATCTTTCTGTAGGGAGAATTTTCTCTCCTTTATTTCATCTAGCTGTTTGCTGTACTTTGTTTCCAAAGGATACTCTGGTTTATCTTCAGATCGCATAAATCTTTCGCCTTTTACCTAAGGATTCTGGTTCACTTTCTTTATTTTGCCTGTATTATAGGTAGGTGTGCACTCGTGGTCAATTTCAAACTGTTTCATGATGAACTCTTCATCAATGCCCATGTCTCCAAAAGTATTATCAACCCATCTGCAGAATTCACAGACTGCACTTGGTGTTTGAGAATGACCTTTGGGAAAACTCTTTCTGCTTGACTTCCTTTGTTTGTTTTTCTCAGGAAACAATTTGGTTCCCTATGGCAGGAGACTCCCCTTGGGAGGTTCCAGGTTGACCCCATCAGGATGTTTTTAACAAAGATTTGTGGGAAACTTCTTTCTTTCCCTGGTGCCCTGACAATATGCCCATGTGTCCTCCAGCTTCCTGTCAGGATCAAGCACTTGTAGCACTTTCAATAAGAGGTCTGCAGGTAGACCTTCCTCTAGATTCAGATAGCGAGCCATGGGGTGCTTGGTCAGACTGGCTTCAATGCTCTCTACGAACGCCTTCTATGCTTGCTGGGCTGGTGGGAGCTTGGAACACAGGTCTGCTCCCTTGGGCAGCTTATTTTGACTCCTTCTCGGGGGAGGTCTGGGAACTCTATGAACAATTATGGGGGAAAAGCTCTCCCTACGGCCACGAGTGATCATATTTTCACAAGATGGGCAGCCCGTTCTGAAGTCGTCCAGCCCTTCTTTCACAAATATCCACCTCCGGTTGTCCAGGGAGGTGGAGCACTTCAGAAGTCTGTTCTTGTTCTTTGCGAAACAGTTGGAAGGCAACTTGTCCCTGTCCTTGTACCAAGGCTTACAATTCATGCCCAGGGGCAAGGGTTCCCGTGGCCCCAGCCCTAACAGCCCCTTCTTGCTGGGCTTGGGCCCTAATAGCCTCCTCTTGTCCGCCATGGTACCCCTAGCCCCAGGGCGACCAGTGGCTTCAGTGGTTTGTTGTTCCAGTCTCTCAGGTTGCTAGGAGGCCATTACCAGGTGCAGCTACATTCTTTCTGGAGGTAGGTCAATGCTCTTTCCCCTGCCCAGCTCTCATTCTCCCTGGACAGGTGGCAAAGTTGCATTCTTTTTGTGGTAGAGAACTGTTCTGTCATATGGACACACCACAATTAATTTACCCATTCACATTTAGATGAACTTTTGTTTTTTTTTTTCCAGTTTGAGGCTGTTTGCAAATCAAGCTGCCACAAATATTTCATGTGTTCATGTCTTTGTACACATACTTTTATTTCTCTTGGGTAAATTTTAGCTAGGAATTGAAAGGTGGGAACATATGATAGGTGTTTTGTTTTTGTTTTTTCTTATGTACTCACAGCCATCAAATTTTAATATTTGCCCAAAGTGGATGAGGTGAGGGAGGCATTAACCCTTGCATATAAAATTTAAGGTGGCAGCAAAACAAAACAGCACTAAAAATCAATTGTGCTTTAAAGTAATACTTTCAAAAGTAATCAGAAAAGCAGTGCCATGCTGAGCCATATTAAAGCCTGAGGATAAAGGATAGATCAGTAATACTGATCCTGTCTTTATTTAAAACTGATGTATTGTTCACCATGGATTTTTGGCAATAACTTTGTTTTGTTTTACTTTTTGTTGAACTTATTGGGGTGACATTGATTGATAAAATTATATAGGTTTCAAGTATACAATTCTATAATACATCATCTGTATATTGTATTGTGTGTTTACCATCCAAAGTTGATAGGTGTTTAATGTTTTAAGAAACCACCAAACTTTTCCAAAGTGGCTGTACTATTTAATATTTCTTCCAGTAGTACATTAGAACTGCACTTCCAGCACATATTCCCTGACACATTGTATGGTTGGTTAATCGTTTAATTCGGGCTGTTCTAATAGGTGTGTAGTAGTATCTTGTTGTGGATTTAATTTGTATTTCCATAATGACTACTAGTGTTGAGCATCTGTTTATATGCTTATTTGCCATTTATATCTCTCCTTGGATGAAGTGTCTGTTCAGATATTTTGCACACTTTTAGATTGTCTTGCTCAATATTTCATTGAGTCTTGAGAGTTCTTTGTGTATTCTGGATGGTAGTCCTTTATCAGATATCTGATTTGTAAAATTTTCTCTCCATCTATAGCTCTTCTTTTCATTGTCTTAACAGTGTCTTTCAAAGAGCTGAGTTTCTAAATTTGATGAAGTCCAATTGATCAGTTTATTCTTTGATGGATTGTTCTCTTTGTTTTGTAGCTAAGGACACTTTGCCTATCCAAAGGTCACAATTTTTTTTTCCAATTCTGCTAAAAGTTTTATAATCTTAGATTTTACATTTAGATCTGTCGTCTATTTTTTTCTTGTTATTAATCCTTACCTGAGAATATTTTTTCTATTGATTTTTAGAGAGAGTGGAAAAGAGAGAGGGAGAGGGAGAGAGAAATAGAGAAACACTGATGTGAGAGACATCAATTGATTGCCTCCTGCCCGCACCCCAGATGATCAAACCTGCAACCCAGGTACATGCCCTTCATTGAGAATCAAACCCAAGACCCTTCAGTGCATGCGCCAGGGCTCTAACCACTGAGATCACTAGCCAGGGCATAGATCTATCAACTATTTAAATTCAATGTTTTAGATGATGTAAGATAAGAATCAAAGTTTTTATTTTTACTCTTTGCATGTGGATATCCAATAGTTCCAGATTTTCTTTCTGAAGAGAGGAGATTTCTCCACTGAATTACCTATGTTACTTTGTAGATGTAAGTATTCTATATTCAGTATATCATAATACTCTTTTCTGTTTCATTGATTTATCTGCATTTACACCAATTCTGTGCTATGTTGGTTACTTTATATTTCACAATAAAACCTGGAATTAGACAGTATTAGTCTTTCATCTCCTTTTTTCTTTTACAAAGTTATTTTGACTCTTGTAGGTCCTTTGAATTTCTATAGGAATTTTAGAATCAATTCATCAGTGTCTACACAGAAAAAAAGGCTTTGAGATTTTATAGGGTTTCCGTGGAATCTATAAAGCAGTTTTTTTTTATTAATTCATTATTGTTACATATGTTTCTCCATTTTTCCCCCATTGACACCCTCCTCCCTATCCCCTCCACCCTGTACCCAGCTTTGTTGTCCCTGTCAATTGGTTATGCATACATGCATATAATTTCTGTGGTTTATCTCTTCCCTCCCCCCACCACCCCTCTTCTGAGGGTTGTCAGTCTGTACCCTACTTCCACATCTCAGGGTCTACCCTATTCCTCAGACTGTTATGTTCATTATATTCCATATATAAGTGAGACCATATAGTATTTGTATTTTTTCTGCTTGGCTTGTTTCGCTTAGGATGATACCTTCCAGGTCCCTCCATGTTGTCTCAAAGGATAAGAGATCTTTCTTGTAGCTGCATAGTACTCCATTGTGTATATATACCACAGCTTTTTTATCCATTCATCTACTGATGGACACTTGGGCTGTTTCCAGATCTTAGCTATTGTAAATAGTGCTGCTATAAACATGGGGGTATATATATTCTTTCTGATTGGTGTTTCAGGCTTCTTAGGGTATATTTCTAGAAATGGAATCAATGGGTCAAATGGCAATTAAATTTTTAATTTGTTTTGAGGTAACACCATATTGTTTACCATAGTGACGGCACCAGTCTGCATTCCCACCAGCAGTGTACTAGACTCCCCTTTTCTCCACACCCTCACCAACACTTGTTTGATGATTTGTTGATGGAGGCCAGTCTGAAAGGTGTGAGGTGATACCACATTGTTGTTTTAATTTGCATCTCTCTGATGATTAGTGATGTTTAGCATTTCTTCATATGTCTCTTGGCCATTTGTATGTCCTGTTTGGAGAGGTGTCTATTTAGCTCCTCTGCACATTTTTTTAATTGGGTTCTTGTCTTCCTTTTGTTGAGTTGTATGAGTACTCTATATATTTTGGAAATGAACACCTTATCTGATGTATCATTGGCAATGATGCTCTCCTATACAGTGGGTTTCATTTCCATTTTGATGGTTGTTTCTTTTGCTGTGCAGAAGTTTTTAGTTTGATGTACTCCCATGTGTTCATTTTTTTCTTTGTTTCTGTTGCCTAAGGTGATGTATCAGTGAAAATTCTGCATATGATGTCCAAAATTGTGTTGCCTACATTTTCTTCAAGGATTTTTATGGATCCACAAGTCATATTTCAGTCTTTTATCCATTTTGAGTTTATTTTAGTGTATGGTGTAAGTTGGTAGTCTAGTTTCATTTTTTTGCATGTAGCTGTCCAATTTTCCCAACACCATTTATTAAAGAGGCTGTCTTTACTCCATTTTATGCTCTTGCCACCTTTGTCAAATATTAATTGAGCATGTTGTCTTGGGCCAATTTCCAGATTCTCTGTTCTGTTCCACTGGTCAATATGCCTGTTCTTGTGCCAGTACCAGGCTGTTTTTATTACAGTCACTTTGTAGTATAACCTGATATCTGGTATTGTGATCCCACCTACTTTGTCCCTCTTTTTCAAGATTGTGGTGGCTATTAGGGGTCTTTTGTGGTTCCATATGAACTTTTGAAGTATTTCTTCTAGTTCTGTGAAATATGTCATTGGTATTTTGATGGGGATTGCATTGACTCTATAGATTGCTTTCAGTAATATGGACATTTTAATGATGTTAATTCTTCCAATCCATGAACAAGGTATGTGCTTCCACTTTTTTATATCTTTCTCTATTTTTTTTTTTTTTTCAATGTCCTGTAGTTTTCTGCAAATAGGTCCTTTACTTCTTTGGTTAAGTTTATTCCTAGGTATCTTAATTTTTTTTTTTTGCCACGATGGTAAATGGGATTGTTTTTTCAGTTTCTCTGTGAGTTCATCATTGGTGTATAAGAATTCCATTGATTTCTTGATGTTAATTTTGTATCCTGCTACTTTGCCAAATTTACTTATTAAGTCTAGTAGATTTTTTATGGAGTCTTTGGGGTTTTCTATGTATAATATATCATCTGCCAATAATGACAGTTTCACTTCCTCCTTTCCAATTTGGATCCCTTTTATTTTTTCTTCATGTCTGACTGCTGTGGCTAAGACTTCCAGTACTATGTTAATTAAGAGTGGCAAAAGTGGGCATCCCTATTTTGTTCCTGTTCTTGAGGGAAATGCTTTTAGTTTTTTCCCATTGAGTATGATGTTGGCTGTAGGTCTTTCATATATGGCCTTTATTATATCGAGATATGATCCCTCTATTCCCACATTGCTGAGCGGTTATATCAGAAATGGATTTTGTCGAATGCTTTTTCACCATCTATTGATATGATCATATGGTTTTTATTCCTTATTTTGTTTATGTGGTGTATCAAATTTATTGATTTGTGAATATTGTACCAGCCTTGCATACATGGGATGAATCCCACTTGGTCATGGTGAATAATTTTTTCTGATGTATTGCTGGATCTGATTTGCTAGTATTTTGCCATCTATGTTCATTAGGGATATTGGCCTGTAGTTTTCTTTCTTTGTAGTGTCCTTTTCTGGTTTTGGAATTAGAATTGTGCTGGTCTCATAAAACGAGTTTGGAAGTCTTCCCTTTTCTTGAATTTTTTGAAATAGTTTGAGAAGAGTGGGTGTTAGTTCTTCTTTGAATGTACACTACAACTTCCCTGTGAAGCCATCCGGGCCTGGGCTTTTGTTTGCTGGGAGAGTATTCATTATCTCTTCAATTTCCTTAGTTGTTATTGGTCTGTTCAAATTTTCTATCTCTTCCCAGTCCAGTTTTGGGAGACTATGTGTTTCTAGAAATTTGTCCAATTCTCCTAGATTGTTGAATTTGTTGCCATATAATTGTTCATAGTATTTGTTAACGATGTTTTGTATTTCTGTGATGTCAGTTGTTACTTCTCCTTCATTTCTGATTTTGTGTATTTGCATTCTCTCTGTTTCT